CCGGGAGCCCGGGTGCGGCGCTCCGCCCCGGCCCGGTGGGAGGGGTCGCGAGGCCGGTCTGGGAGGGTTGGTACCGCGGGTCTGTCCCGAAGGCGGCCCTAGAACAGTTCCGTTCTCAAGTTAGGGTGACAGGAGGGGATAGGGAAGGCGAAATGCTGGGACTAGACCCCCAAGACAGCCAGATACACCCCAAGTTGGACTCGAGAAGAGATGGATGATTCTGGATTTTTTTTTTCCCTGAAATAAGCGGATTCGGAAAACTCCAGGCCCCGGACAATAAGGAGTCGGCTTTAGAAACACCTGAGGCCTGCTACTGGCAGCCGCCACGCCCCTCCCATGGGAGGGCCGGTGGTCACCCCCTTGGTCAGAGCCACTCTTCCCCCAGGCTCAGTAGTCTCCTCTCTGAGCACAGGCCTCTTGCCTTCCTGCCTCAGCTATAACTGTGGTTGGGATGATCCTTCCTCGATTTACCCTTGGCTAGGCTTTGATTACTCCAGGCAGGGCACCTGAGTCTGGGTCAGAATTTCCACGGAGATGCGCAAAACTGATTAATGTAGGGTGTGTCTGGGGCCGAGTGACTGGGGAAGCAGGTAGGAAAGGAAACCTGTAAGAGTCACTTCCTCCAGATCTCTGACTCTTATTATAACGTCCGCAGCCAGGTAGGCGGGAAGCAGAGATTGTTATCCTTCATACTGGAAGGAAGTTGGGGAGGGGGCAGTGATTGCCCAAGAACCCAAGTGATGAGCCGCAGAGGAGCTCAGGCCAACATCTGGGTCTTATCTCTGGGTTTCAGTACCACAGACCCCCCTGGATGGATCCCCAGCAGGATATTGTGATCACCCCACCTTTGGAGTTTGTTCTCATCATCAACTTGACCTTAGGCACAGGGTTTTTCTCCTGGTCCTGGTCTCCTCCTTGAGGTCAGGGGTCAGGCAGCTCAGTCTGTCCTGAAACACTGTAGAGTGCAATAACTGTAACACTGTAGATGACTAGAGGGCAGAGGGTGACCTAATCTGCATTAGCCCTTGAGTGTCCCCAAAGACTCAGCTGTGGTAAATCTGGGCATTACTGATACTCCCACAACCTGGTCTACTCCACAGATCACACCCTGTTCTTGCCGGACCTCAATTTCCTGGTAAAGCCAATCATTCATCCCTGAGCATCTATTCAGGGCTCTTGGCCTAGTCTAACTCTCACCTTTAAGGGCCCCACCCCTTCCTGGGTTAGTTAGTGAGTCTCTAAGGAGAGGTGTTATAGGCAGGACTGAGACTTGCAGAGAGTGGTATGCAGGGCCTGGACTGTGGGATAATTCTGGATACATGGTGTAAGGAGGGGGAGGAAGGCAAGCACACCCTTTTGGAAGGGGGAGTCAGGAAAGGAATGCTGGCTAATCTTGCTCAGCACCAGCTCTTTCAACACTTTCTTCCCAGTGACTGGGATTAACATAATTTGCAGAGCCCTTTGTCAAAAATTACTAAGGCAGCACCTGCCTAGCAAGCGGAAGGCAGTTCAAACCCTAGTACCAACAAGAAAAACCATATAGTCATGAACTTTTACCCCCTAGCCTGGTGGTAGAGCACTTGCCTAGCAAGCAGGCATTTCCAGATATTAGAGGAGATTCTCCAAATTCTCTTACTCTAGCAAAAGAATTCCAGGATTTCCCCTATCTCTTGTGGGACCAAACTCTTCTGGGTTCCATCCCCACCCAACTCTTTGTAACAGCAAAGCATTCAAACCAGCACCAGGCCTTTCTGGACCCATGGTTGTGTGGACTTCACATACCTATGAAAATAGCCCCACCAGTGGCTCATGTAAGTCTAGAAGGTTCCTCAAGATGCAACTCAAGATTGGATCTTGTGATTGGAGGAGGAAGGAAAGTGGCAGTAAGAAGGGGTCAGGATCATATTACCTTCATTATTTCTATCAACACCTAGAACCCTCATCTCTCATCCCCCACCTAGACTACCTCAACAGCAGCAGCCCAGTTTCTCTTTTTGTCCCCTGGCCTAGTGGACAGACAAGCTTCTGGAGCACTTATTCCTGGGAAGGGCCAGCCTGTGCTCTAGCCACAGCTGAGCCCACCCTCTGGATTAATGATTGTTCAACTCAGCTATCTTTCTTCACTGGCTATACAAGCTGTAGAGGAAGCCGACATCCCAGCAGTCCCTGGGAGTTGGGCCCAAAGTCCAACTTGGAGCCAGGCTGTCACCTGACCTAGCAGGAAATTGCCAACTTGTCCCCAGGGAGGAACTAGCCATCAAGCTAGGGGCAGCAGCCTAAGGCCCCTCCAGCTTTACTCTACTGGTTCTAGAAACCCCGGGCTCAGGTGGGTACCAGGGGCTCACACCTGTAATTCAAACTACTCAGAAGTAGAGATCTGAGAACCTAGATTGGAAGGAAAGCCCAGGCAGGAAAGTCAGGAAGTAGAGCTATGGCTCAGGTGGAAGAGCAAAAAAGCATTGAGCACAAAAGCCCAAGGAGGGCTGGGAAGTTGGCTCAGTGGTAGAGTGCTTGTCTCGCATGCATGAGGCCCTGGGTTCGATTCCTCAACACCACATAAGCAGAGAAAAGCCAGAAGTGGCGCTGTGACTCAAGTGGTAGAGTGCTAGCCTTGAGCTGAAGAGCTGAGGGACAGTGCCCATGTTCAGCCCCCACAACTGACCAAAAAATAAAAATTCAAACCTCAGTACTGGCACCCCTGCGACCACACACACACACACAGAGCCTAGATTCATATGAAGGTTGCCTCTGCCACCCCAGACTGCTTAGAACTGTCTCTCAGATGCCAGCTGTGTCCCCTGTTGGCCTGACCTCTTTTTATTTTTTTTGGTCAGTCGTGGGGCTTGAACTCTGGGCTTGGGCTCTGTCCCTGAGCTCTTCAGCTCAAGGTGAGTGCTCTACAGCTTGAGCCACGGCACCACTTCCAGTTTTCTAGTGGTTTATTGGAGATAAGAGTCTCATGGACTTTCCTGCCTGGGCTGGCTTTGAACCTCTATCCTCAGATCTCAGCCTCCTGAGTAGCTAGGATTACAGGCGTGAGCCACCAGCGCCAGGCTTGGCCTGAGCTCTTTCACCATACTTCATTCCATCCAGGCTAGAATGTGGCTGAGCCTCCCTCATTTCATAGGGAAGGTTCAAGAAGAGAACCAGAGCCTGGAGGTGGGAATGGCTTGCCTCTACCTTACCTCTTTCTTAGACCATTTGGATGGTCAGCAATCTTGGTGGAGAGTGAAACAATTCTGCTGAAGAGCCCCTCCACCAGCAAACCTGGGGGACCCTCTGCTGGTCCTGTCATACAACTAGCATTCCTGTGTCCCCTAAACCATGGCTCCTAGCTTCTGGAGCAGTCTTGTGAACATTTCAGTCTCCCTGCTGAAGTCTTCTTTCATCTTCCTGGTATATCTTAGAATCACACCCCAAGCCTAATTTTTCCCATCCCTCCTCCCCCCACTGGATTGATGTGTGGCTGAAAGGAGATGCTGCTTCCATGTTGGTGCCAGCTTGTGGGAAGCTGAGGAGAAAAAGGAAAGAGAATTTGGAGAGAACAGAGGGAGAAGAGGTGGCTGTTGCCTCCTGGTCTCCAGTGTGGAACAGAATGTTTTTCCAACTTCATTCTTTCAGCAGGTATCTCCTCAGCATTAGTTCTGTGTTCTAGGCTTCAAGAGACTGACCACAGATAATCAATGATGATCTTTCTTAGCTGTAGGAAGTATAGAAAAGTAGGATCCAAGCTTCCCTAATAGAGTGCAGTGGCATATGCAGGGTGCTCATAAGTCCCAGCTACTCAGAAGGCAAGAGAATCACTTACTTGAGCCTGTCAGCTCAAAACCAACCTGCAAGAGAATGAGATTCTGTCTTCAAAAAAATCTGGGAGGCCCTGGAAGGTGGCTCAGTAGTAGAGTGCTTGCCTTGCATGCATGAGGCCCTGGGTTTGATTCCTCAGCACCACACAAGCAGAAAAAGCCAGAAGTGGCGCTGGCTCAAATGGTAGAGCACTAGCCTTGAACTGAAGAGCTGAAGGACGGCATCCAGGCCCAGAGTTCAGGCTCCATGACCAACCAAAAAAAAAAAAAGAAAAGAAAAAGAAATCTGGGTGGAACAGGATGCTGGTGGCTCACACCTGTAATCCTAGCTACTCAGGAAGCTGAGAGCTAAGGATAGAGGTTCAAAGCCAGCCCAGGCAGGAAAGTCTGTGAGTCTCTTATCTCCAATAAACCACTAGAAAACTGGAAGTGGCGCTGTGGCTCAAGGGGTAGAGCACTGGCCTTGAGCTGAAGAGCTGAGTGACAGTGCCCAAGCCCAGAGCTCAAGCCCCATGACCATCAAAAAACAAAAACAAAAAACAAACCACAGAAAACCAGAAGTGGCCCTGTGGCTCAAGTGGTAGAATGCTCGCTTTGAGCGGAAGAGCTCAAGGACAGTGCCCAGGGCTAGAGTTCAAGTCCCATGACCGCCCCCCCCCCCAAAAAAAAAAAAAAAAGCGAGAAATTGACAAAAAAAAAAAAAAAAAATATGAGGGGAGAGTACAAGGAAAGGGGTGATATTGTCCAAAAAGAAATGTACTCATAATCTGGGCATCAATGTCTCAGGCCTGTAATCCTAGTTACTCATGAGACTGAGATATGAGGACCTAAGTTCAAAGCCAGCCCAGCTAGGAAAGTCCATGAGACCTTTATCTCCAATTAACTTCCAAAAAAACAGAAGTGGTACAGTGGCTCAAAGTGATAGAACACTAGCTGCGAGCAACATAGCTCAGGGGCAGTGCCCAGGTCCTGAGTTCAAACCCAATAACTAACAACAACAACAAAGAGATGTACTCATTACCTGATTAATGTAACTGTAAGCCCTCTGTACATCCCTCTATAAAAATAACAATAAAAATTTTAAAAGCCATTAAAAAGGAAAAATCAAAATATAATTTTTACTTACCATGAAGTTAAACAGTAAGGGCAGTAATGACATTTTTTTTTTTTGTCGGTCATGGGGCTTGAACTCTGGGCTTGGGCGCTGTCCCTCAGCTCTTCAGCTCAAGGCAAGTGCTCTACCACTTGAGCCACAGCGCCACTTCCGGTTTTCTGGTGGTTTTTTGGAGATAGGAGTCTCACGGTCTCTCCTGCCTGGGCTGGCTTTGAACCGCGATCCTCAGATCTCAGCCTCCTGAGTAGCTAGGATTACAGGCGTGAGCCACCAGCGCCCGGTGCAGTAATGACATTTTTAACCACTAAAAATATAAAAGAGAGGTCAGTGGCTCATGTCTGTAATCATAGCTATTTAGAAGACTGATTTCTGAGGATCAAGGTTTGACACCAGCTTGGATAAAAGAATCCATAAGACTCCAGTACCCAGGGGAAAAAAGTGGAGATATGGTATTATGTGTTAGAAAGTATATGTGCTTGTGTATATGTGTTAATATTTCAATATAAGGCTAATGTTTTGGAATGTAAGGCTGGTAGAGTGCCAGCTTTGAGTGAAAAAGCTAAGGGACAATGCCCAGGCCCTGAGTTCAAGCCCCAGTACAGAAGACTGTTGAATCCTAGAGTGAGAAAAACATGTGGCATAAAAGGAGTCCTGAGGCTAATCTGGTTCTCATCAAGGTCCTGCGACTGTTTGGACACCAGTCTTCAGCATCTAATTTCATCTGGGAAAGAAAGGTACCCATGGAACTATTGGAGTATGTTGGAGTGTGTGCATGTAAGCAACAGTCTCATTTATTCACCACTAACCCCCATCCCAGCACTGGGACTAGAGAGGGCCCCAGGAAACCACTGAATGGTCCACGTTGGAAAGTGGAGGCGGGTTACCATGGAGATATGCTTTGTTTCCCCAACTGTCTAGCTGCATCTGACAAACACAAAAAGCTCAGCCAGATGGACACTGACCTAGGCAGAGCAAGGATTTCCTGACCCTGAGGTTCAAAAGTCTTGCTGCTCTCCAAGGACAGGGGCTCAGTACTTCCAAGCAGAGAGATGAACAGCCTGGCCTGCCAGTTAGAAAGGTTTTCTGGAGAGGGTGTGGGAGGGGCCTCTCCTAGGTGTTTGCAGACACCCACTTCTGAGTTCTGGGCAGCAGAGTTGGACCTGTGCCCAAGGGCAGGGCTAGGAGAAAAACACCCACATACAGGGCTTTCTGGAAGCTGGAGGAGAGATCAAAAAG